ACTTGCCATTTTGGAAATAAATAATATTATCCCTAACTTTACTAAATGTATTATTTCGTTTATTTACTTTGATATTTTCATGATACTTAGAATTTACCTACGCGTTTATTTATTCTAAGGCGTTAATATCGCCTTGAGAGACTGAATCTTACAAATACAACTAGTAAATAGCAGGGTGATTTCCGCCCTGACGTACCGAGTACATATTCAGCCAGCCTAAATCAGGCTAACATTACTATTATAGTAAATGCTGTTGTGCGATTATGCATAGTGCGATTATGCATTATGTGATATTTCAAGAATTAATTCGAATCAATAAAGTCGCGTGCGTGGTTCTGTGTCATTACAGGATTCGACTCCCACGTTTAGCTTAATCTAACAGTAATGATTAGAGTTCAAGCGCCGTCGTACATGGTCACAGGCATGTTGTATTTTTCAGCTACAATCCAGTCGATAGATTCTACTCTTGACCTGTGTTCTGAACCATACTTTTCCACGTCGAATACTTCCAAGGGATTTCCACCTGGGATGTCGGCAATTCGTGACGTTATACCGTAGGCGACAAGTATCTCCAGATTCTTGAGTGAAATGAAATTGATCACCTTTCGAATGTCCCAGGTTTTCAGAATTTCCAAACTCTCGGGAACTGATATTTCTTCATGGTCTGTGTTCCACAAATACAATACTTTCAAGTGCTTGAAGCGAGGCAACAAGTGTAGCGAGATTACGTCTGCTTGCCTCAGATTGAGCACTTCAATCGAGTCTTGGGCTGGAAGCAGCCAAGCCAAATCGATTGACGTATCGAACTCTACAACTACTGGCTTTGATTTGATTACTCTAATTGGTTTCTGCGACTGGTATTCCCCATAACATAGCCCTGTGGTGTCTGGTATCGGCACTTGGGCCCTGAACATAGTGTACACGGTCATTGACGATCCCTCTTGGCAATGGTATCTCGAAACAGCGTCATACTGTGACATGTCTGAGAATGTTTTGGGGAGTAAAGTATGCGATTTGAGATGATAGAAGCGATCCCCTCTTACCATGATTCCCTTGCAGATCTTGGTGAAATCCGATCTAAATATGAGGCCTACGCCTCCTGCGACGTAGATTTTTATTAGATCCCAGTCTCGGGTCTCTGGTGTACAGCCGTGATATATATCCGGTTTCACGCCAAAAATTGTCTTCGCTGTCGAAACAAAACGTGTGTCCCGTCTCGAGAACGAACACTATTTTACTCGGATCGTTTATATTTTTATCTTCGAGTGTTTGAAAATCATCGCAGGTCGACCGCAACTCGGTCTTGTCATATGCCTGTACCTTCATTCTTTTTTTTACTAGGAAAAAATGTAGGGGTGTTGTTTTTTTGTGGGCAATTTTGAATGAAACTACAATGTTCATTCCAAATTGCCCACAAATTCCCATATGTTTTATCCGAAAACAGTCACTTTCACATTTGGCATATAATAATAAAATTAAAAAAAATTGATCGTATTTCTGTAACTGACAACTTATGACTAGTGACAACTTGACACCAGTGGCAACTGACAAAAGTAATAAAGTGGCGGGCGCGCTTTTCAGCAGAATGGAGTGTGACCTGACAAAATCACCTATCATATATGAAAAGGTACTATTTAAATATAAAAGTAACAACTTTAATGTTTGTTCGAGGCAAAATAAAAGTTGCAACTTTTAACACATTGAGCTTAGGCCCTGTCCCGTCCCTGTGGGGGTAGTAGCTACTCTACTACTACTACTAGAGAGGGGCTATAGGCTACTGTACTATCTACTACTAGTTATACCATTATGGCGCCGGGTACATAGTCGGGACTCGGGCGCTGTGGGCAGTCTACTACTACTTTAGAGATACGAGAGAGAGAAAGAGCGCGGAGCAGTGCCCAGTAGTTAGCCGTATGTAGGCAGTTATCACTACATAGTACATACTCACACAAGCTCTATTTACATATTCAAGAATTTTAGTATTTATTAGTATATAATCGGCTAATCGCAGCCGAAGGTAATCGCTCACAGCTTCAAAGGCTTTTCACACACAGCTAGAGTAGTCGATCAATCACACGTAGGCCCGTAGCAGGCCTCATTTCGTTGTAAATTGAACGCTTAAATTTGATTTTATATGCGTAATTTGTTGAACGTTTATGTCTACAGGTTTAGTGGCCCAAAATTACTACATACATGGTCCAATTTTAGGCCAGCTTGCCATTTGCCTTTTGTCCTTTCTGCCTTTGAAACTTAAAAAAAAAACACATATAAAACTCTAACAAATGCATCGTAGTCCCTGTGGTTGTGAGCCTGTGACTGGTGAGTGTGAACTCAGAGCTGTGACGTAAAATCACTTAGTGTAAAACAGAGGATCCAAAGCACATCGAGTATAAATAGAAGTTAAGCTAGACTTTTTTTTTACTTTAAAGCAATATGGGTAGAGCTGTTGATCTTGATAAGAGCGAACACTTCAAAAGTGCGCGCGATCGATGGTATCCACGGCTGCTGTGGTACCGCGGCACATAGCGAAATGACATCTACTAATAGTCAGGTTAGGACGGTAAGTGTGTGTGACTATGTGTGCATGTAATTTTGTACTTTTGTACTTTTGTAAGAGTGTGTGTTATGTCACTTGAGTGTCACTGTTGCGAGTGTGTGACAACTGTGTGTGACAGTAGACAGCGCCGGACTGTGACCGAGATATGTTCGATTCCGATTGGGTCTTATGAATTCGTGGCCCAAAAAAATGTAATTGGGTGCGCACTTGTCAGGTCGAAATTGCAAGGAAATTCCAGGTCATATCTCGTGCGTTGTAAATACGTTTTATCGCATAAATATTATTTTATATACGGAGAACGTTGAACGTTTTAAAACTGTAGGTAGCACTGCACAACGAAATGAGGGCTCGTAGCGATTCTGCATTCTGCATATCTCTGCTGGAGCCTGGAGACCCAAAATGATAAAATTTGAAATTTCATAGCCTTTCTGAAATTGTTAGACAATTTGTTTCAAAAAAAAAATAGCAAATATCAAACAGAAAATTGTATTTATTTTTAGTTTTGGTTCATTTTAGATTTTAGAATACTATGGTTTTTACTCTTTTGGTTTGACAATTGACAGTTAGTATTTATAAAATGCAATATTTACATATATGTATGTATTGATTATTGAATACAATATATATGTAACTATGTATACATACTGTTTTTAAAAATAAATATAAATATCAAAAAAAAAATACACATCTGTCTGGTTTTGTCTTCTTTTCTGTTCTTTTTTTTTATAAATGGAATTTGGCTGGTTCAAATTCAAAAAAAATATATATATATATATAGTTAGACGGTAAAAAATGCTATTTTTTGTGCTGCTTTTTAAAACAAACGAAAAACTTTCCGACTTCTATTCAAACTCCTTTGTTTTGGTTTATATTTTTTCAAACAAATCAATATTTATGAATCTAGAGTTCCAGACTCTCTACTGTAGTAGTCTGTAGAGTGTAGACTGTAGAGTGAGGCTCAGTCTCTACTCTAGTCTCAGCAGGACTCAGGGCTCAATAAATACTGTTTTAATTTTCGTTTGAGAAACTGCAAAAGGGGGTTTTTTTTAAACAAGTGCTCGTAGAATAAATAAATAAAAAATCCCGAATAAATAATGTAAATTCACACCCGACTGCATACTTTCTTGGTTTCTATGTATCTTTAGTATTGAGAGAGTCGTCCCACACTCTCACTCTCTTCACTCTCTTGTCACTCACTCCCTCACGTCCTCACGACTCACAGAGAGAGAGATGGACTGATTTTTAACCTTCTTCGGCTTCTACTAAAAAAAATACCTTCTGGCTTCTTCTGAAGGTCTGCCTTCTTGCTGCCAGCCTGCCAGGCTGCCACTATGTGCCCCAGGCTCTGCCACAAGTGCCAACTGCACTATATTGTAAATATCTCCACAGTTTCAAAGATGTTATTGGGAGAAAGCAGCTCAACGAACAAGAATACTGTCTAAGGGATTCTTCTTGATTCATGAGTCATGACAGACAACTTCATCCATAGCATTCTAAACGAACAAGAAGCCAGAAGGCCATGTGCACACATACTCTACAAAGTACCCCAATCATATTTGTAGTTTACGATGTGCATATGTCATACAATGCACATTCAAGTCGGATCGTAACATCTGCTGACATGCATATTACATATATACTCCTCAAGTGCCAGATGTCAGGCAGACATGTGTACCGATAACCATCGCCATCTCGCGACAAAAGATTGTTTACTATAATTCGAACACGGTATAAGAATTTTCAAGAAGAGAAATTGCTTTTTCATGTCAAATTCAAGCCTGTGCTAGAAATTTCTACTAGTAGTCTGGGCCTCTGGGGGGTCGGTCTGATTGGCAGGCCGCACTATTCTTCGGGTGCCTCACACTGTTTCCACATTGCGTATACGGTTATGCTCGGATATGCTCATACAAACGCCTTGCGCACGCGATTTTCTTTTAAAAACGAATTGTACTACTACAAATCTGCTAGTTTATTTTATGAATTACAACTAGCAATCCACGTCTTTTTCTGTCGGAATTTATCCCTATCAGCGGTGAAACATCGTGACCATGCTGCTTGAACCGCGGCACACCTCCGTACTGAGACGCCTGAATGCTCGCAAGAATCACTCTTTTACTTAGCCTTACAGACATAGCGACTACTATGTCGATTGTCACCTATGATGAGAATGTGTCTGTATCAACTGGCGCTTACTTTTCTTCTTTTTCGCTGCGAAATCAAAAAACAACCAAGGGTAGCAATTTAGGGGTACAAACAATATCTGAGGAGCCTTCGGCCAGGTTCTAAAAGCACTAATAAATGCAAATGTCAACTGCGAGTGTCAAGCAACCGGATTTTAAGCTTACTTTTCTTGTGTTGTAACGCATTCGGAGCCGGCTTATTCACGGAATCAGTGCTCAATCCTTTTTCAGTCTCCGGAACACTGTCAATTGAATTAGGATTGATGGATTGAAGGTATTCAAATTGCTTGATTTTGAACAGATTGTTGACAAACACTGCAGATGAACCAAACAACGCTTTGGTGTGACGAGTTTTATATGTCACACAGAAAACATACTCCTGCCCTTCATGTACTAAGAAATCAGTGTATGCTTTTAGCTCACATGTATACATCGAGTACAAGCGATCTTATATCATGTGCGATTTGTGAGCATTAATAAACGCCTTCTTCGAATGGCTATACTACCTGATGGTAGCCCCGTGTACGCAAGAAGCGCCGATCACCATAAACGAGACGAAGCAATGCATATACAAAATACTAGTGATCACGGCCCGATATATCCCATCGGACGCCCATACCAATATCACTGAACCCTTCCCCTCGCATACGTAACCCCCTTGCGGACAAACACCCACATCCGATGTGAGGCTACCATATTGTTGATAACCTATACCAGAATCCTGTGCTAACTATTTTATCTGACTGAAACCTTCCTCCAAATCCAGACCAATTACATCCCCAGTGCGCATATACACGATGATCCGTAACAAACAATTCTCGCCGCTTTAATACACCTAGCTCGAGATATCTAATCATTTCAAGACACGCCGTCTGTTCTCCTCCATCAACGTGTGCGCCATCAAGTGTTCGCCATATTAGAGACGTTCTGTCTTCCTGAAGGTTCAGCAGACTGTCTTCTGCGAGTGCAGTGGCCCTGGGAGTTGTGAGGCGCACAACATTGTTTTCGGGCGTTCTTGGGTACATTCACAGATACTTTACTCACCATTTCTCCCACGGCTAGACCAAAATCAATCCCTTCGCGCAAATAAACAAAGACATATCCTACTTCAAACATACATCCTACCATGATCTTCTGAGAGTGCAGTGACCTTTGTAGCCTCCTCTGACATGCTTGGATAAGGATGCATCTAGATCAAGTACCGCGCAAATACACATACATACACCTACGAGAATACGAGAATGCCTACCGATTCAGCGGATTGTCTGCTTCGAGTGCAGCGGTGTATATATATATATATATGTGTGTGTGTGTGTGCGTGTGTGTGTGTGTGTGTGTGTGTGTGTGTGTGTGTGTTGTGTTGTGTGTATGTATATATACATACGTATATACCAACCCCATCTCCGCATTAAGACCACAAATAAATATATACTCCTCCTACACCACCTACCGATTGAGCGTAATAGCTTCTGCAAGTGCTGTGGCCGTGGTAGTTGTGGGCGGTGGTATTTCCTCTGCCATTCGTTGGTGTGGTGTGGCTATGGGCCTTAAAAGGTGGCGCGAGCCAGACAAAGAGCCGTTGCTGTCAACTCGGTGGATCGTACTGTCTGTTTGTGGTGTAGGGATTGTGCTATACATAAGTGATTGATAAGTTACTTGCAAATTTATGCTGTATTTGTGAGTTATGTACGTGTTATAGTTCGCTCGTAGGTCCCTCGTTGTGATTGGTGGGTGAGGTTTACTGACCTATATAGCCACGTTCGTGTGTATTATGATATGTATTTATTCGCTCATACGGTCATTGCTTCACATAAATTATACTGACACTCCTATAAACAGGCCTTCCCTATTCAGCCCAGAGGCTCCTCAATCACACAGGTGACTCAACCCTGCCAACTACATCCTATGTTATTCAATGTCAGGGATTATACCATCGCCTGCGGATGAGTTTTATACCGAGCAAGCACGCCAATATGAGACTGTGTCTGTGTCTTGTTTCTAAACCAGTGTACGTGCATATATATATCATTGTGTTCATACCAATCTGCGTCTGTGTCCGCATTCGTATTTCTCAGGATACTTACCTCTGCTCGAGAATCGGGCCATGTACAGATCGGAGTTGCTGGTGCTATTGGCTGTAGTGAAATGCGATCAAATGCACACGTGTCAGATCTTAATGATTGCACATACATATATCGTATTCGTCATACACGCACATCTTCTTATACACGCTCCTATCTACATACTGCACTAGTTAACCCTAAACCATAAACTTACCTAAACCCCAAACCCCTGAACCTCTGAACCCTTAAACCCATCCTATCTACATACTACACTAGACATATACACACCTTTATTGAGGATACTATACCCAGCACTGGGACTCCGGTTCGAACGGCCATTGGGATCGTTGAGGTCTAATGATTGGATGGTGGACTTGTGGGGGACAGTGCGCGGGTACTGCTGTGAGGCATCCAGGGCAATGTTTTCGCTTGAATATGCCCGTTGGATCATGGGCGGCCGGCGTGGAGGTGATGGCTGCAGGGGATAACAACTCGGAATGAGGAGACCGGAATAGAGATAAATGGGTTGTGTATGTAAGCGTGTATACTATGTGACTATGTTTGTATGTATAGGATACTATAGTGAAATTGTGTGTGGGTATAGGTGGGGTGGGAGGTTGCGAAGGTATCGTTGTGATCTCGAGTGCTGTGAAGATGATGGCTGTACTCGAAATGAAAGCTCGATTTAAGAGGGTTATAACGATATACGTTTGTTTTATCTGAATTATGTACTATTTAGGAAGCTATGAATGAATGCATGTTCCATTATATATATATATAT